AGCCCACTGATCAAGTCTGTCCAGGTCACTCTGTAGATCTTTCCTATCCTCAGGCAGATCCACACTCCCACCCAACTGAGAGTCATTGACAAATTTAACAAACAGAATTAAAAACAAACCAAATCCCTTCTCCATGCCAGGTTTTACAAGGATACAAACCATAGCTCCCATCAGACAAATATTGGCAAATAAAGCAAAGCAAGGATAAGTAGTTCAGTGTTGCACATATAGCATTGCTGGAGTACTGAGCAAGGGACCAAGAGAACTTTGGTACTGTACTTACTGGAAGATGAATCCACAACTGGTGCTAACTGAACCCTCTGCCCAGCAGAGCCTACTTCCTTCTTCAGAAATGAAGGGAGATAACCACTAGTTAGACCACTGGATCCAATGGACCCTGGAAGAAATGGCAAGGAACAGCTGAGGTCAACACAATGGATCTCCCACATTATCAACAGATGACAACTGATGGGTCATGTTGAGGATCAAGACTGAGAGAAACAACTTAATTGAAGACATTAGAAATCCACAGCTGCTGTATACAGCTGCATTCACAGGACTGTCAGCCTCAGACTGACCTACAGGAGAATGGAAAACAGGTACAAATTGTACCTGTCAGGGCGAATTGCAATTCTCCCTGACATCTCAGCTTTTTTCAAGGTTTCTCAAAGCTCTCAAAACTTAGTGTTTTTAAACAGCAATTAAAAGGCATGATGATAGGTTTTACTGGCTTTATTCCTGTAACAATGGTGGGTATGGCTAGTTCAATTCAGATCAGATTCCTCCTGTAGTGACAGTCACTTATGCACCAGCTGGGCTAAAATAACTTGGGAATCAGAAAACATGACTTACAAAAACTGAAGAGGGAAACTGAAGGCAAGGAGAAGCATTTCAGGATGCACAGACCTAAGCTGTCCAACCTGCTATGCCTGTGGTACTTCAAACCAGATCTGGGGGGAATCATTAGAAGAAATGACTGGTTTGGTTTAGGGCAGTCTCCAAACCCAAGGAACAGTGATCACAACTGACTTTAACAGAAAGACATCCAGTTGGCACCAGTCACTAGTGGTGTTCCCCAGGGGTCAGTGCTGGGCCCAGTTCTCTCTAATATCTTTTTTGATGATTTGGATGAAGGGATTGAGTGCACCATCAGCAGTTTGCAGATGACACAAAGCTGGGGGGGAGTGTGGATCTGCTGGAAGGCAGAAGGGCTCTGCAGAGGGACCTGGCCAGGCTGGAGAGATGGGCTGAGTCCAAGGGGATGAGGTTTAACAAGGCCAAGTGCTGGTCCTGCACTTTGGCCATCCCAATGCCATGCAGAGCTCCAGGCTGGGACAGAGTGGCTGGAGAGCACCAGGAGAAAGGGACCTGGGAGTGTGGAGAGACAGGAGCTGAGCAGGAGCCAGCAGTGTGCTCAGGGGGGCAAGAAGGCCAATGGGTTGGACTTGATGATCTTGGAGGTCTTTTCCAACCCAGCTGATTCTATGATTCTATGACAAGACAGGGCAGCAAGTTCAAAGCTGTTTTAGGAATGGATGAACCCAAAACACAGCTGTGGGCAACTGCAGAGACATCACTCATTATCTTTTCTCAGAGTGCTGAGCACAGCTCCTTACCTGAATTCATCCTGTTAGTACTTCCTCCCAAACCAGAAGCTTTCCCAGACACACCAGAACTAGGCCAGGGGTTCGACGGAGCAGAGTCTTGGCTGGAAGTGGACACTATGCTATTCCTTGTGCTTATTCCTGTTGCAAAAAAAGCAAAGATTACTATGCTGACATCTCTGTTGCCACCCAGGTTTGCATTCACTCCATCTGAGGCACAATCAACTTAACCACAACCTTCGACCTCTCTGTAACTCTCTGGGTTACTTCCCACCCTCTCATAACACAGAAGGCTATGACTAGCCACAGGCACTAATCCTGCAAATATAATAGTGTCAGGAGTTCTACTAGCATCAAAGGTTGCTTGATGTACAAGGACAGGATCCTTACATCAAGGCCACAGATGTTGTCAAGTAACAGAAGGCAAAACTTGCTATGTAAATGAAATCTGTGCTTCCTATGGAAGCCTAATGGCTTGGAGGACTAGAGGGAATGGCCTTGAGCTGAGACAGGAGAGAGTCAGGTTAGATGTGAGGAGAAATGTTTTCCCTGTGAGGATGTTCAGGCTCTGGAATATTGCCCAGGGAGGTGGTGCAGTCACCATCCCTGGAAGTGTTTAAAAGCTGTCTGGATTTGGCACTGGAGGATATGATTTAGGGTTTAGGGGTTCCAGCATTGACAGGTTAATGGTTGGACTGGATACAGGTCTCCTCTTGACGGTTCTATAGTCTCAGCAGAGCAGAGACTACCATGAAGACAGGGATATAATTCCTCTATAGAGACATGGATTTGCATTCTGTTTCACACCAAGCTACAGCAAAGCATACTCCCACTACTAGTCAGCTCCTGTTTTTCATGGCAGTTTATACTAACATTGTAAAAGCAAGGCACTTTCTTTTCCAGTCTAGAAGACTGCTCTTATCCTTTTTAGGGAAACAGGGAATACTACCATGAAGACAGGGATATAATTCCTCTATAGAGACATGGATTTGCATTCTGTTTCACACCAAGCTACAGCAAAGCATACTCCCACTACTAGTCAGCTCCTGTTTTTCATGGCAGTTTATACTAACATTGTAAAAGCAAGGCACTTTCTTTTCCAGTCTAGAAGACTGCTCTTATCCTTTTTAGGGAAACAGGGAATAGTCTGGCACATTCACAGACATTTTCTAACACACTTGCAAGTACAGAGTATCCAGAGGGAGGAAGAAGTACCAACAATCCTGTCCCCTTGTTTGCAAGCAGGATTTCTCACTTGGTAGTCTTCCAGAATGTAGTTTGTATCGTGCCCATCTACATGAGCAAAGCTCTTGCTCTCCTCATTTTCCTTGGGCAGTAGCCTCTCTCTCCAAGCTCACAGGATAACAGCTAACATACCCATGACTATTGCATCCTGCTGTTGGAATTACAGGAAGAAAAAGAAAGAGGAATGCTTTACTAACCAGGTAGGTACCTAGAGTGCCTCAAGTAGTGCTGCTTTGCTGCAGAAACTCGCAGTGTGGGAGTGTCCTGCCGCGAGAAGGTCGAGTGGGAAATTTGGCTGCCGCTGCCAGAGCCTACAGCATCCAAAGGAAACAGGTCCAAGATGCTTTCAAATCTGTAAAATAACTGCACTTAGTCCAATTCTTAGAGCACATGCTAAGCCACAGTTGGTCTTCTCCTCTCCATCCCATCTGCAGGAATCATTTCCTCATACTGTGTTTGCTACACCACAAACACACAGACAACAGGGCCACACAAGTGTCCCTGAAAATCAGATTTACACTCCTAGCTCCCTTCTGTAGTGCTGTTAAAGCTTTTCTACACCACTCAGCAGGTTTGGTTTTTTTCTACTGTGTATGAGCCACAGACTCTAAGCCACTCAGCAGGTTTGGCTTTTTTTCTACTGTGTATGAGCCACAGAAACTGCAACTTAGAGTCATCCAAAACAGTTTCTAAGTGTGGAGTGTGTCAAAATGGTTCACATGTGAAATAGGAAGTTTATTTTCAAAGATGAACCTGGGGAGACTTCAAGCCAAGCAGCATTTTCAGTGGGGAAACAAAATGGACAAGGAATTCTATAGGTTTATGTTTCTAGATCCATAGAAAGCATAAAGAACAACATTACTAATAGGCAAAGCCTAAAGAAATGGACCAAATAGCACATGGACATAAAAAATACCAACTTACCCAAAAAGAGGATCATCATTCTGCCTCTTGTTTTTCAAGTCTATTCTCGTTATGGAAGAGCCGAAATCGAGGTCTTCCAAGTCATCCCAGTCCTCAGAACTCTTCACTGTCCTAGCAAGATGTCCCCATCTTCGCCTAGGTTTTGGTTTGAGCTCACCATTTATATTCTCAGAGCCAGCAGATGTTTTCTGGGATAAAGATGGAAAAGAAACAAACCCACATTCTTAGACCACAAACCAGGTGACAGGAACAAAGCCTCTTTTCTCTATCCCTAAGAGTAATAGTGGAAGTGGAGCTGTAACAACACTATCCTCATAGAATCATACAATCAACCAGGTTGGAAAAGACCTCCAAGATCATCAAGTCCAACCCTACTGTGGTCACTAGCCCATGGCACTAAGTGCCACATCCAGGCTCAGCTTGAAAACCTCCAGGGATGGGGAATCCACCACCTCCCTGGGCAGCACATCCCAATGCCTGAGCACTCTCTCTGTAAAAAAATCTCTTCCTAATATCCAACCTAACCCTCCCCTGGCAGAGCTTGAGTCTGTGCCCTCTTATCCTACTGCTAAGCATGCTAAGAACACCATCTGGAGCCTGTAGACATTACTACATATCTCCTGAATTTCATCCTGTAATAAAGTGTCTTGAACTGACAGAAAAAATTTCTTAGGTCTCAATTCTGATTCTATTTATATTTCACTCTGCACCTCCCAAACAATTAGCTTACCTTAAATGGATGAAGGCAACAGCTTCCTCCCCCTCATTTCAACACTATTTAGCTTAACACTTTTCTCTCTAGTCTCAATCCCATTAGGATTTTGAACACAGCACATCCTTTTTAGCTATATGAGATCACAGTGTCATCCTTTAAGTGGTGCTTTACAACAAAGGGAAGCACAAAATAGCTCTGGAAAGAGAAGTTGACTTGCTTGTTTTATAGCAACTGGAGTTAGATTTCAACAGAGGAACTTCTAGTTTCTAGTAGAAAGTTTACCTACTGCCCACTACTATTGGTAGTACTTCTATTACTACTGTTGCCCAGGGAGGTGGTGGAGTCATCATCCCTGGAAGTGTGTAAGAAAGAGGTGTCTGGAGTTGACACTGGAGGATCTGGGTTAGGGTTTAGGGGTTCCAGCAGTGACAGGTTAATGGTTGGACTTGATAATCTTAGAGGTCTCCTCCAGCCTTGATGATTCTAGGATTCTACTTTTTATTCACACTCACTGTCCTTTTAGTAAAGTACAAGACCCTTGAAGCAGAACAAGAAAAACACACATAATTAAGGAAAAACCAGGTAGTATATCAGGAAGCTTCTCTTATACTAGATGGACCTTTACCTGCTGAGGAGCCTTATTGTGAATTGCAGGCAGAAGAACCTGGTTAGACTTTTCCTCCTGTAAGTAGTTACTGCGCTCAGCCCCAGAGTTGCTTGTCTTATACGGGTACACCAAGTGCTGAGATGACTGGCTTTGTTGAAAAGGCCTTGAGGGAACGTGGGCATGAGGTTTTGGAAGAGCTGGAGGGACAGGCTTAATGTGCAGAGACGATTTATTCTGCAGTTCCTTTTGTTTTCCCAGTTCCTGAATGCCCAGGGCATGTCCAACCTGGAAGTATGGATATCGAAGTGCCTGAAAAGTAATGAAGATGTTAGGCTTAGGAAACAAAAGGTTCTCATTTATCCCAGTCCTATGACTCAGTTTAAACTTAATTCCCTTTTTTCCTAAGGTAGGAAACAGCAGAAGACACATCTGTCAGCACTAGACTCTAGTGAGCTCAATCCACTCCAGAAAGTGCTGCAAGACTAGGAAGGTTTCAACAGAAACCAAGTGACCAAATCCTCTGGGCACTTGTGCAACAGGAAAAGGGTTCTGAAGTGAGATACTGAAGTAGGTATATGGCATCTCAAGGCATGTTTCATTATGTGCTGCCTTTTCAGGTGTGTGTGCATGCACACATGCCAACACACACCCCCTGTCACCACCAACTGAGCCAGCAAAACTCCAATGACCCCAGGGATGTCCCATCTCTTCCATTCTCCTGCTCCCAGTCTGAAAGAAATATAACTCTTATGAAAATTAGCCTCTGTTTTGGAAAACATGGTGATAAAAGTATTTTTATCCTGCCTTACAAATGAGCACTGAACAGATTGCCCAGAGAGGTCGTGGATTCTCCCTCACTGGAGGTGTTCAAGAACTGTGTGGACATAGCCCTGAGCCATGTGCTCTGGGATGGTCCTACTGTTGTAGGGAGGTTGGACCAGATGAGCCACTGTGGTCCCTTCCAACCTCACTGATTCTGGGATTGTGTAATTAAGGAGTTGTCAGTAGAGGCAATTCATCCCTACCCATCTTGCTGTTGCAGGTATGTTCATCTAGAGGGATGAGGACTAGACTTGAGGACTAGAAGGAACAGCCATAAACTGAGGCAGGGGAGATTCAGATTAGATGTTAGGAAAAATGTTTTCCCTGTTAGAGTGTTCAGGCACTGGAACATTGCCCAGGGAGGTGGTGCAGTCACCATCCCTGGAAGTGTTTAAGAGGCATCTGGATCTGGTGCTGGAGGATCTGGTTTAGGGTTTAGGGGTTCCAGCAGTGACAGGTTAATGGTTGGACTCAATGATCTTACAGGTCTCAAGAAACACTTTTTCACTGAGGGTGACTGAGGACCAGCACAGGCTGCCTAGAACAAGGGGTTGGACCAGAGTCTTGTGATTCTGTGGGGCACATCAATAACAACTAAAGAAGAGCACCACAGCCTTCAGCCTTACATCCTTCACTCTGCAGCTGTTCAGTGACTGCATCATACTTAACTCAGGTGTACTTCCCCAGCTGCAATCACACCTTTGATCACAGAACACACAGCTGATGTAGCATACAAAAGATCATTTACTCTCTTTTAATCACCATCCTTTGTCTTGCAAATTGTTCTTGGCTTCAGCTCTTATCCCTTTCTAAGAACTGCTCCCCTGAGCCACAGCTAAATGACTGTCTCTAAAAGGTGCCTTGAGGGGAAAGGAAATATCACCTGCAGATGTGAGAGAAAGAAAACAAACCCAAAGCAAACCTGGCTGGCTGTTGGCCGCTTTTTGGGGTCCCACTGCAGCATGTCTCTCATGAGCTGCACTCCTTCACTGCTGGCATTGGGGATGAGAGTTTTTAGGTTGTTGGGTACACACTGAGGCCAGCGAAAACTCATGCAAGCTGAAAGATGGTAACCTTCAGGCCAGTCGTTCTGGAAGAATGAGATTTCCAATGGCAGAAAAGGTTCAGCTGTAAAATATCAGTGCCACAGTACACTAGCATATATTCTCTTATCAGTACCAGGCTGTGTCCTGCTTACTCTAGACTACATGAAAGATTTCACTGCAAAATCTTCACCTCATCGTCTTGCCACGATTCCAATTTCTAGCCTCTTAAACTGCAGGTGTAGACACACTGTGCAGGACAAGATGAAATTCCCACCTTATGACATCACAGTCTAAGGACTTCGTTTGCTGTTCAGGGCTCTATTTCTCCTCCTCTAAATGTCACTTTTATTACATAATTCCATAATGCTTATTACACAGAAAATAAGCTTTAATTTAATCCAATCATACATTAACAGTAAGCAGGAAAGGAGCTACTGTACTGTAGTGTAGAACAGCTCTATTGCAGTGTGGATGGCATTTCACCTACCTTCTTTGGTGTGCCCAAGACTTGGCAGATTTTGAAGATAGTATCAATCTCACTGGCACCTGGGAAGAGAGGCCTAAGTGTGTAAACTTCTGCCATGATGCAACCAACAGCCCAGATATCTATTGGAGAACTGTAGCTGGTGGATCTCAGAAGGACTTCAGGAGCTCTGTACCTGTGAGGGAGAAGAAAAAGTAGAAAATAAAGAAATCCCAACAATCAACACAATTCAAGCAGACATACATAAAACCACTCATCTCTTCTGCTGCCCACACTCCTGTGGATGCAGCCCAGGCCTGGGATGGTTTCTGGGCTAAGCTCACACCGCAGCTCATGGGGAGTTTGTCATTGAAAACGTCTTCATTAACCCCTCAGGAGTTACATGCAGGGTACAAGGGGAGTGGTGATGGTGGGAGGAGGAAAAGGACACTCTGGGGCCAGTTTCTCTGGGCTGTGGTGGTTTACCCAAGCTGGTGAGGTAGGCAGGGAGGTTTGGCCTGGGGGAGCCTGGAGCAATGAGTAAGCTTCAATTTCTGCTGGGTGGAGCTGTGAATTCTTTGTGATAGTATGCAAAACTTCTACTAGGAAAGAAACTGATTCATTTCCCCC